ACAGGGCAATGTAAATTCGGCGTGACTTGTAAATTCAATCATCCCCTACCTGCTGGAGCACAAGTGCCTGCACCAGCAGCTGGACCTGGATCTGGACCTGGACCTCTGACTGCGCCAGCAGCTGTTCCTGCACCACACATTTATCCGCCAGCGGTGCAGTCTCCTTCTGTTCAATCCGCTCAACAATACGGGGTAGTTTCTGGCAACTGGCCAGTTGCAAGGCCTACTCTGCTTCCTGGTTCATATATCCCTGGGACTTATGGTTCTATGCTTCTTCCCCCGGGGATGGTTCCTCTACCAGGTTGGACTCCTTATCCGGTAGGTACATCATACATGCTTCTTTCATCTGTTTATGTATACAATTTTTCTGGATGCACTGACTATCTGCTAAGTTTTGATTATGCGGTATAGGCCCCTGTTAATCCAGTTCCTTCCCCAAGTACTCAACTTGCTGCTGCAGCAGGCCCCATGTATGGGCTTTCTCAACTGTCTCCTTCAGCACCTGCATACACAGGACCATATTTATCTGTTCCTTCTTCTGCCGGTCCTTCTAGCAGCAGTCAGAAGGAGCATGCATTTCCAGAAAGGCCTGGACTTCAAGAATGTCAGTATTACATGAAGTATGGCGACTGTAAATATGGATCTTCTTGTAGATACCATCATCCACCTGAATGGAGTGGACCTAAAACAAGTTTTATCCTCAGTGCTATGGGCCTCCCTCTTCGTCCGGTGAGAATCTTCGTGTGCAATCTTTAGATTGAAATTCTACGTATGGGTCAGCACACCAGTGTTTCTATTTTTTCTTGCTAAAGTATTCTCCATGAGTCCATGTTAAATTTGACCTTTCTTTCTCTAACCTTTAAATCTGGTATTACATTACTATTTGATAGACAGACTCCTATATATGCATGAAATAGGAAAGAAGACATTATGTGTCCTAGGATATTTACGATTAATCAGTGCACTACTAATTGTGATGGTACATTGCATGAAGTGAAGAGTGTTTGAATTATTGCATCAGACAACTTTTGCCAGGAGGTATCTGCATTTGTTGACATTGTTGCTATAAGAGTGGGCTGGGCTAAAGTTGCCATTTTCAAAAAAAAATACCTTTCAAGCAACAAGGAAATTGCTTATGAGGGAGGTTCTTGGGCTTTTTCTATGCAAAATGATTAGGTAGGATGATGTCTTCTCTTTAAAAAATAGACAATTTGGACGTCTAAAAAACTAGGACATTTGGGGAGAGATTTTAATAGATTTATAATTTCTAATATTTGTAATGCTTTGATCCAGTTAAGTGGTGTTAACTTTAATTTTATTACAATGTGAGCGATATGTTAAATATTGTACATGCTCCCTAGGCATTTCTCTGCTATTCTCTCCATATGAACTCGGGATATGTAAATGGGTGACATTGTATGAAGTTTCAGTGGCTTGGTAGTATAAAGTGTCATGCTTCTGTTCCCTATGCTTGCAGATGGTGAAATCTTACCTACTCTTCTGGGAACTACCGAACTTTTCTTAACTTGTCTAACAAAATAAATTACTGAACTTGAGTGCATATTTAAGAGTCAAATTAGCTTTTCCATGTGTCATGTTTACTTGGATTTTGAACTATCTTCAGATGTGTTGCTCATCACTGACCAAAAAAAACATAGATTCGGGTAAGAGTGCAAGATGTGATGTGTGGGCAGGTGCATATTATGAGTTTGAACCCTGCGGCAGACCAAAATCTTGGTAATATCCACCAAGTTTCAAACATCTGCCAGCTGGCCTTTGGGGGATCTATAGCTCCCTGTATTTTGGTGATCTTATACTTTGTTCTGCTTTTAAAAATCAAATATGTAACTTCATACACCTTAAAGTTCAGATGAAGAAAAGTAGGAATCTGGTACGAAACGACTCCCTTTGCACCATTAGTCTAATGCCATACATTCCATAATATCTTTGCTATTTATGCTTCTACAAGTCTTGCATGATTCATTGATATAACAGTCTTTGTGTTAGTTGTGGGAAGCAGTAAAATTGACATTTTGGCAAGATTCTTGGTGCACAACAAGTGATTCCGTAAATATGTTTATTCTGGATATGAGATGCATCCTGTCCTTCATATACTAAACCATCAGCTATTAGTCATCCCTTCCATGAAATACAAGTGGCATACTGTTTTGTGATCAAGTTTCAGTGGTGTTTTATATACGAACTGTTAAAGTTTCTTTGCTAACTGAATGTGCTGGGAACTAACTTGTCTTTTCCTTTACCTTTTCCCTAAATCACCGCCATTTCTTGCCGAAGTCTGTTAGTACTTAAAACAAGTGAATTCTGTAGATTGAGTTCATACACTGCTGGGTGATTTGGAAGATTAATTTTGTTTTTGTTCCTCTGAATGGTTTCTTCAGGGTGCACCAGTTTGCTCTCACTTTGCACAAAATGGAGTCTGCAAGTTTGGGCCGTCTTGCAAGTTTGACCATCCAATGGGATTGACTTATAGTTCATCTTCTTCTTCTCTTGCTGATATGGCTGTTGCTCCTTACCCTGTGGGATCTGCTGTTGGTACTTTGGCTCCATCATCCTCATCCTCAGACTTGCGTCCTGAAGTGAATGCTGGATCTGGCAGGGATGGGTTCTCTACTCAAGTATCTTCCATGAACACTTCAAGCGGTTCAGTTGGTTCAATGTTTTCAAAGGGTGGTCCTGCTTCCCATTCTGGTGTTCAGCAATCTGTACAGAGTTCAAATCCTTCCGGTGGCAGCAGCAGCAGCGCAGGCCATGGAAGTGAGGCTCGCACATCAAATTGAGAGAAGATTGAGTGATCACATTTTTTCTGTTGCTCAATGATCACATGACGAGCACTTTATTTTTGGTGATAGTCCCTTTTAGGAGGATTTTATCCAAATTAGTCACACCTTGCTTTCAATATTCAGATCTAGCACACACTCTAGTTCTGTCCACTTCCACCTGCTGTTCATAAGGCCATCCACCTCTTTACCTCATTTCGAATAAGTGATAATCCATCCTTGAAAGGTCCAACTACCCTCAGTAGAGGTTTGTAGCTAGTTTCTGAATAACAAGAAACAAAACACCACCTTCCATCTTTTAGATATCTGCCCCAATTTTTGGACCTTGTTGTGGCTATTTATGTTGTAGTCTTTTTTAGGGAGCGAAAACATCACTCCTACACCCTTGTCCTTTGAAATTTAGGCTGTCTCTTTAGTCCCCCCCTCTTCAAAATTGGAATGAAATACCAACATCTTCTTGTTTCTGCTTGGGGCTTTATTTTGAAGGAACATCTGAACTTACAGATTCTGAACAAGACAATGTTTTATTGTCTCTTTATTGGGATATTTGATCAATACTTGTGTTGTAATATGAAGAATTTATCATCAAATACAGGTGAAAATACCAACAACTTTGACTTTGTAAGAATTGCTTCCTTTTTCTTTATCATTTTCAGTCCTTTATATGTTGCCATTATAGTTCATCCTTTCCCTTTTTAGTTGCTGTAAATGGTCTTTACTATTGCTAGACAATAATAAAGCCAATCTAAATATTTCTCCAACTTGGTTGGTCCAAATGTAGTTGTTACTACCTTATGACCAAAGTCGTATTTCAATTTTGTGATCTTAAACTTGGAAAGCAGAGAGAGTACCACCAAAGACAGACCTACTCTTTATGTGTTGTCGTCTCCTTATATGATTTTGAATAATCTTTTTAGTTACACAAACAGATGTTTGGGATTGAATAAAACGTAGTACTGTTATACTGAAGAAGTTACTGTTGTTTAGACAAGACTATTAAAGTGTTGTACAAATCTAATTGGAGATTGCATGTAAGTCTACTAGTTGGTCGTACTGCTCCCATTTTGCTTTGTACGACTCACTATCATCTTAGGACCGTCGACAGATTTTGGAAGCGAAATTCTTGTGGCTAAATATGTATACTTTCGTTCATTTTTAATTCTCATGTTAGTGTTTTCAAAAGTCAATTCAATTAATTATCAAAGTTAAATTATATTACATTAATTTAATATTATAAATTAAATATTTAAAAACTATATAAAAAATACATTAGTCAAAGTTCTTAGCTAAATGATAATTAAAAATGGACGAAGAGAGTAGTTTTTGGGACAAAATATAGCTATCGGTTTCTTTTTAAATTTTAAACTTACCAAAACTTTCTATTTTATTAAAAATTATTCATCTATTTATGACCGCCAACTAATTCCTATCTACCCATATCGAGATATATGTTTATCGTGAAGAGATCGTTCGTACAAAGATTATAGGAAAGAATATATATTACTATTTTATTTTTCACTTATGGTTCTTCATAACTAATTATAGTGGCTAGCATCTGTGTTATTAGTAGTTTTTATTAAAATATCGTGTTATGATTTTGAAGGTAGTGTATTATCTAGTTAAAAATAATATTTTCGTGCCAAAACTTGTGAACATATTTTTATATAGTTTTTTAACTTATGGATATAAGACTTTTTCCAAAAAAAAAAGTGAATTATGTTTTTTTAAAAACTATATACACGTTTTGAAACATCAAAACATACATCACATCCCAAAAATATTGAAAAAATTCGATCAAACTTTTCATGTATGATATAATATTCATTATACACACATGCATAGTTTTACAATATTGTGCTTCTTTCAAAGAATTGGTCAAGTCTGATAAAAAACAACAATTATTGCGTAAATAATAAAGTTTTGTTTCTCATTATTATTACTTATCGGTTCTAAACTGTTCAAGTGACGATTGCACCATTTCTTAAATAAATTAAAAACATCGAGTAAAAAACATAAAATAACATCGAAATATTTTTACTTCGACAAAATCCATACTTGAATATATTATAGTACTATTGTTACATTACTACTTTAATACATGCAAAAAAGAAGAAGAAGAAAAAGAGAAGTAGGAATTAATTAGGTTGGCAAAAAAGTACATTAGATGGAATTACACTGAAAAACAAAACAAAACAAAATATATCAAAATAGAGTAGTGTATCCAAATTCAACATCACCAAAAGCAGCAGCAGCAGCAGCAGCATTAGTCGTTTCATGATTAGGCATCATCATTAGGTGATCATAGTTATTAATCTCCATATTTGGATAATAATAACTTCCATCTGCCACGTCATCCATCATTTGATGATTCATATTGTTGCTACTATGATTCATCGTCATGGCTGATAACTCACAAGAACTCTCCCATGACGACGACATGTCGAAGAATCCATTCGTATCATAATAAGTGTTCTCTATTTCCCCATTCATTTTACTCTGAGGAGTAGAAGAAGGTTCTTGTGGTTGTTGCGGTGGTGGTTTCAAGCAACTATCCGGAACAATGCAATCTAATAAATAACCTGAATTTGTATTATTATTATTATTATTATTCATGTCATCATTTAAAAAAACGAAGCTATTGTTCTCGTTAGGTGATGAGCCATACGACGATGACTCATCAGAATTGGTGGTGGTGGTGGTTTTAGTCTTGGTGTTTTTGTTAATATGAGTGTTGAAATTGAAATGCGTGTTGTTAGGGTTCAACATGTTTTGAACATGTTCAAAAGGTGAAATAAGCGAAGGGAAATTAGTGTTAGCACTATCGGAAGTGTAAATAAAATTGGTTCTAGCTTGAGTGCCTTTCATAGAAAGTGCGGCTCTATCGTAAGCCAAAGCCGCTTCTTGAGCCGTATCAAACGTACCGAGCCAATGCCTCTCTTTAGTCGTGGGGTCGCGGATTTCAGCCGCGTAGCGACCCCACGGCCTACGTCTAACCCCAAGGAACCGTCCGGGTTCCGTTTGTTTACGACGTCCTCGTTTCTCGCTCGGCTGACACAGGGCTGTGTTACGTTGTAACCAAGAATAGCCTGTGGGGGTTCGAATGGGTTCAAACATGCCAAATGGTAATTGATTATCTGATGAGATTGGTGTAGAATTAGAAGAAGACATTTTGTTTTGTTTTTTTTGGTTTTGGGAATGAATAATGGTTGTGTGTGTGTGGTTTATAGGTCTTTTTAAAGAGGGTTGGGCCATGATTATGGGGAAAAGGAAAAGGACAATGTGCACGTAATTTACTGTTTTTAAAGATTTTTGATTATTTAGTTTTTTTTTTTATTTTATTTCCTTTCTAACAACTTTTGGATTTGTTACTTTACTTGTAACAAGTATCATGTACACTGTGTTTAAGTACTTTTAGTTTATCAACCCTTCTGTATGCCCACACCACCTTCACTTCAACCCCATCACAATTTAACCAATTTAATGAATATATCTTTACATGTACTAGTATTCTTATGATCGAGACAGTATTGAAAAACACTTTTTCAAGCTATTGATAGTTTTAAAAATATCTCTTTATTTGACTAATTGGATTTAAATATATTATCGATCTTGTAACATGAGTGATATACATCTCTCGGTAAGAGTTTCATGCTCTTATAAGAGTTTGAAACAACTTGCTATGTCATGTGACAGATCGAGGATATATCAGGGACGTATATAAGTTTAATTAGTCAAATAAAAAAGTGTTTCTAAAACACTATCAATAATTCGTAAATGAAACTAATAATTAACACTAAAGTTAGGTTTTTATTCTAATTCTTAAATGATATATACTGTATTCGATTCATATTAAGTGGTGTTTTTATCTTTAATTTGTTTTGATTGTGTTTCATGTAATCAAGAAAGTATTAGTAGTATTTGTTTTCTTTCATAGTATCTCTATTAACTATTCAAAATATTTAAAATTAAAGTATCATATAAAGTCCAGAGGAATATATACAAATTCTCATTCAAAATAATTAAAATACTAACATTGAATATGTGAAAGTTTTTACCTCCTTGATTCTCATAAATATTTGAAATTAAAGTATCATATATGCTTTTCCTTTAAGTCTCTTCTCTATATTCTTTTAATATTATATTGATATGGTGTTCACATTAGCTTGAGCTAATTTCAAATATTAAAACTCTATTATATTGTCTTCTTTCCTAATTTCAAATTCAATGTATCTCGATTATTAACACTTCAAAAAAAAAAGGTATTAGCTACAAAGTTTCTCTCTAATTATTGAGTTAATACCCAGATAGTCACTCAACTATGCACTTTTCTCTCAGAAAGTCACTCAACTTTCAATTTTCACTCAAAAGTCACTCAGCTATGCACTTCTTTCTTAGAAAATCACTCAACTTTGAATTTTAACTCAAAAATCACTCAACTATCCGCTTTTTCCTCAGAAAGTTACTCAATCTATTAAACTATTTTTTAATTAAAATTTATTGATATTAATTATTTATATAACAAAAATAAAATTTTTAAAAAATAAATTAAATTATTTAGTGATCCACCCACCTAACCCGACCCATTAAAAAAATATGATATGACCCATTTTATTTTATCTTTAATCCTAAATTAATCCCTCTCTTTAAATCTTGAATTAGGATTAAAGACAAAATAAAATGGGTCATATCATGTTTTTTAATGGGTCAGGTTACGTGGGTGGATCACTAAATGGTTTAAATGGTATTTTTATTTTTAAAATTTTTGATTTGTTATATAAATAATTGATATAAACAAATTTTAGTTAAAAAAAAACAATTTAATAGATTGAGTGACTTTCTGAGGAAAAAGTAGATAGTTGAGTGATTTTTGAGTTAAAATTCAAAGTTGAGTGACTTTCTAAGAAAGAAGTGCATTGTTGAGTGACTTTTGAGTGAAAATTGAAAGTTGAGTGACTTTATGAGAGAAGATTGTATAGTTAAGTAATCATATGAGATATTAACTCCTAATTATTGCTATTTTGTTTATAGCTAATGAAAATCAATAACTAATTCTGTAAAATAGGAAATCAATAAGAAATTTTACTGTATAGCTATAAAATTTGTCTATAGTCAAATCTTGAGTAGTATGAATTGCTTTGATATATAATTGTAGTAGTATATATAGATATAGACTAAGCCACGGAAGAATGTTGGAACCTATTACTAGCATATACTACTTTTTTTTTTTATCCAAAAAAGATTAAAAAAAAAAAAGTTTTTGGCCTCATCTGAAAAATATTTACCTAGAGATTTTAAAATCTTTTTCTGTGGTTAAAAAGGGATTATGAACTTGTCTAATTCAAATTAATCTTCCATAACAATGAAACTAAGTAATAATTAAAAAATCCAATGAAATTTTAAAATACATGTGTACGTGTTCATCATGTCACACAATAGAGAATAACAAATTGAAAATCAGATTGTTAATTAAAATGTCTTTTAATGGGGATTATCTCTTTATCGTATTGGGATGAAGAAATATATATAAATAAAGAAGTACATTTTTGCTATTTAGATATATTTTAATTTATAATATTACATATATAACTAGATTTAGATTGTCTACGTCCAAATACATGTATATAGGAAAAAGAAAACCTCGAAGATATAATAGGAGAAAGAAAATTATGCTTTCTTGATTTGTCAAAAATGACAAGTAAAAGGAGAAATTAAATTTGAAATTTTTTACGAGTAAGTAGAGACGGAGAAAATATTTCACAATATCTAAGGTTATACATCAATTAATATGAACATTGTGATAAAAAAAAAATACTCATATTAGTCATTATTTCTTAAGAGACGTATCAATCTAGAGTAAACAAGATGAAGAAATATATATATATGAAAAAGACAATTATTTTTTTCCTTCAGATTTTACCATTAGTATTAATGACTTATTGCTAAATTAATTACATATATATATTTTTTTATATCATTATTGCATAAATATGATTCTTTGGAACAATTCGATGAATTTAGTCGACTATTTTAGAAGACCCTAATGATGATAGATAGAATTTATTTAAGTTTTGCAGTCTCTGTCACTGAAAATGAAAACAACACTAGACAAATTTTATGCGACAAAGCTCGATTTATAAGACATTTAGAAGAATCGATTCCGAATGATCTGTATGAATAATCACCTTTCAAATCAACTAAACTATCACGAAGGATGAAACTTATAATTTCGTGTACCTTATATAATAAAAATTAAAGATTCTGTTATGGTTAATCATTTTCCACTTACTCCAAAAACAAATGTTAAAAGCGCGCACTCAATTTTTGTCCACATAGTCCTAGATAATCTCAAACATTTGAATTTTGCAAGTAAACCTTGTATTTATTCACTTTGGATTATACTATAAAGCACCGCATTATATGCAACAAAAATATCAAAAATAAAATTCTTCTACACACTTGTCTCCTCATGTTTTTTTCCCCCTTTCAAAGAGGCTTCACGTTTAAGTGATAAATAAAATCATTATTATTAATTAGTAAGACATTCAAATATTGAAAATAAATAATAAAATAGATATAAACTGATAAATATCTTTTAATTTTTTTAAAAAATTGAACAAGTAAAAAATATTTATTTTTAATATAATAGATAGGTAAAAAATGAAGGGAAGAAATATTATTACGTAAGTCCAATAAATTAATTAAGATTATAAGATACCAACAATGGAAAGATAAGTATGCCATGCATGTTACACAACCAAAATAAAAGGGGATATCGAGAAAAAAACCACACAAGTCAAAGCTCTATCTTTTCTATACTTTTGTCATTTCTTATAGGCTTCACGCACTAACTTAACCATCATTCTTACCACAAGATTAGAGTGTCTTTCTTTTTTCAAAAAAATAAAATAAAATCTAATCAACATGAGATATGTTAAGCAATTGTGAGATTGCTCTATTCTTAATCATAAATTTTGAATATGAGTGCAAGATAGTGGAGAAAATTTTGTCAGGAGAGTCACCTTTAAATGAATTCTTCAGGGCGCAATTCAAATTTAGTCGGACAAACTATAGACATATCACGTGGAAAATCAAGTAAATAATTTTTTTCTACATTTTCAATTCAATTTAACATTTTGTAATAAGTCATGCATTCAATGGTTTGTCCTAATGGTTAATGAAGTGGTTGACAACCCTGGGATCGACTTCAAGTTCAAGACTCAACAAAAGACAAAAAATGCTAGATATTCTTTTCAGATATGACTCTAGGATCATATTTTATTTTTTTTTGGTAATAAGTCATTATTTCTATATTTGTCCTAATTAATGGTTAATGAAGTGGTTGACAACCCTGGGATCGATTTCAAGTTCAAGACTCAACAAAAGACAAAAAATGCTAGATATTCTTTTCAGATATCTTGACGCTAGGATCATATTTTTTTTTGTAATAAGTCATTGTTTCTATATTAAATAATATAATTAGTTAGCTATAATTGTCTTTTTAAACTAATTATCTAATTGTATATACAAATTACCTTAAACTCTTTCCCTTTCCCATTGAGTAAATGGTTACAAAGTTTAAAATTAAAAAGAATATGACAAGTTATTGATTTATTTTCTTAATTTATCTAGTTTTGTGCGAGTATTTTTGTCAGGGCTTACATTTCTAGGCAATGGTTGAGATAATTAAGATGATCAAAAGAGATTATTTTATGCGATTGCAATTTATCCAAGGATTAAAGCATCTTCACATTAAAACTCCCATTTCAACACAATATTAACTTTATAATCATAAGTGGTAAAATCATATGAGTTTCAAGTTATATACATTGTTAGTATTATAAAAAATAAATGTACACTTGTTATATTTTCTTTGTTTGTTGTATCTGATAATTTATTTTTTAAAAAGATTTTAATTAAAGAATTACCTATAAAAAATTTTGTGAGTGACCTATAGTGTAGAAATCTTTTTTCCAATATATATAACTTAGACTCTAAGTTTGTATATTAGACATGTGTCTTACATTTAAGCACCTAATTTGCCTACACCTTTGAAGGACAATCTTCACCACACACACACAAAAAAAAAACTAATAATTATTCATAGTAAGTTTTAATTCAATGATATATCAAAATCAAAAAATTTAGTTTTGTAAGTTATAACTTCATAA